TGTCTGACAGTAACATCAGAAAGAGCGCACAAAATTCATCGTAGCAAGGAGTGCAAGATTTTGCCTGTTGTTGGCAAGAGTCTCGAGCACTATACACTGACAGTACGACTTCGTTCAGTTCCACCCCCCCCCCCCCAATTTTGATGCATGGAGGTAGGAAAGGGAGGAGGGGCCAACCCGCGCTAAAAGTGAAGCACTGCTTTGAGGCTTGGGTCACCAGATGGGGTGTTCTTTGTTTACATTCAGAAGCTCGCTTGACAAGATTCTGATAGTATTTCGACACACGACAGTTCCATAGAAATTGAAAAAGGGACACTCTCGCATGAAAGAAACATTCATAGTGTGATGGATAATAGCAATTTGTATAGTTTAGTGACATTTACGCAAAAATCACATCTGGTTATTTTTCGATAACTAACAACAGCGATTTTGATTATGAATTTGTTTTATAAAATTCTAAGCTGTTGCACTACAAAAATATAGATTTTAAGAAAAATGTTATGCTTAAAGAATGAAAAATACCTTAAGGTACATTTGAAATTGTATACGTCTTTCGATACCCTTGATAGAGTATTCGCTACTTTTATTTTATTTTCCAAACGTCAAAATGTTTTAAATAAAACAAATTCTTTTCACATCCATATATTATTGTAACATGTACCTTTCAAAATTTTTTAGAGGAGAGGCTTTACTGCTGCTCATTTTAAACCCATCCTTTTAATTTTATATATCTGAAAAATAATCACTTTGGGCTTACACGTTTTATAAATATAAATTATGTACGTTAAAATATTTGTAATTAGGCACATAGGTCAGATTAAATAGAGTAACGCATGCAAGGGCTATCTGCCTAAAGAAAGAGATGCCATTGTGGAAGAATTTTGAAGAAAAACTGACCTTTGAGTGGGTATTAAAAATAATACTTATAATTTTCATTCAAATTATATTCATATATATATTTTATATAAAACTTTCGGATGTATGCTAAATTAGTCTAAATTACTTTACACGAAAAATATAGTGAATGCACAGAAATTAAAGATTTGCACATGCCGGAAATGAAAAATAGGAAATATGTATGGGTATTTATGCATGTGCTTGCAAAAAACATGTATCTGCCTTTGACAAAATACTTAAATATTCATTAAATTATTTATAAATGCATTTGAAATGAAGAATTTATTCACTTATAAACAACTATGAAAGTGCTGTGAAGAAATCTAATTATTAAATGTATCTAATTTATAATGATTATAAATGTTATCTAAATATATAATAACCTTAATATTGAATTGTAAACATAAATTGAAATCCTGTTGACAATAAAACTATTTAAGCAAGAATTGTTCGTATTGGAAAGCAATCTGTTAAAAGGTATTGTAAAGCAAATGCTATGAGATGCGCACTTAAGAACGTAATAAAGAGTTTTGGAATATGTATTGTTGAAATGAAGGGTAAAAAAAAAAATCTGATAAGTATAATTAAAAGAATTATTCCCCTTACATTTTATAATAACTCAGTTACAAGTTTTAAATAATACTTAAAAAAAAAAACTTATTTTATTCCCTTTCAGAAATGTTCAGCGAAAGTCAAGTACTATTTAATGCCTATTTAATTATTAGGAATTAGCGCAATACTTATTTAAAGTATTTCGCTAATTCCTAATAATTCTCTAATTTAAAATGAACCGAATAGAGCATTAATTATAAATTGACTTGCATTTTTCGATTTAAAAGATGCTTCAGAAGCCAAAAAATCATGTCATATTTAAGAAAGTATTTTAGGAAGAAGCTCTATAAATAGAAAAGAAATAATGCATAATTTTAATATTAATAATACAATAAACTTTGATCTTAATTTTTGTACCTTAACCGAATAAAATCGAATTACATTAATTTTTTTTCTAATGTAATTAACGAAAACTTGTGAAAATATTTCATTCAAATTAAACCATTCTGAGAAAACTGTCCTGTGAAAAGTATAGCATTTAATTCCGTTCAGAATGAAATGTTGTTTAAAAATATGTTGTTTTCACATACTTAGGACTCTGAAGTGTTGTAGAAAAAAAAATTATATACATTTATATGTATATTTACGACGTAATTACAAAATATTTACATCCGAACGCGTCAAATCCCATAGAACTCAATGGTAAATGACCCAATGTTTTGGTCACCACGTAGGGATCGCCGGTGCTTCAGAGCAGGGTACGGGGAGAAACCTGTTTAGGGCGACTCCATCTTACTTCCTACCTCCATGTTTTGATGGAGGAGGGAGGAATGGGTCCGAGGATCTCCCCCCTCTTCTCCTACCACCACCCTCTCGAAAAAACTTTCGGCTCGTCGCATATTAGGAGTGCCCCTATGCTGCACGGACACTGTACATTTATAAACATCTATGCTTTGTCCGGGTTTCGAATCTCGGCCATTCGGTACCGCAGTAGGCTCTCCTAACCACTATACTGACTGAGCGGCTATCAGACTTTATTCAAGGATTCAGCGGAAGAATTCCCATTAATAGCGGAATGGATAAAGCCGTGGGATAGAAGTAGTTCATCCAAACTGTACCTCCACATTACAAGAGACATTAATATGATATATGAGATTTACACAGTTAGCTCTATGTACAACGTAATTAATATGAATAAGATTCACTTGACTTCCTGCAGATGATTCTTGAGTATCTTGCTGTAACTGGCTATCAATCAATAAAGAAAAAATAATTTAATATAATTATTAACCACTAAGCTTATCGTTTTACATCTGTTCCACTAAAATTTTTGAAACATTTACTATACTCGTATTTCAGAATATTTTAACATACTTAGAAAATTGTACAGAATATGTATATTTGCATATTTTAGCATTGAGCATTTCTGTAAGCCCAGCCGTAAAGCGATCGCCATATTAAGCAAATTCTCACTTTTTTCGATCGCCAAAATACGCCAAGTGCAATTCTGTTTTGCAGGGAAATTCGAAATCGTTTAGAAACCAGCTTCGCAAGCGGCTAATGCCGTTTCATTAGTTTCGCATGCAAATTACACGATGGGTTCAGCATAAATAAATGGACGTGCTGTCTGTGGCCATTACTTTGCCGTTAATTTGCCCTCATTTGTCTCGAGCTGTGTGTCAGCCGCAGAAGTAAAAGGAAAGGGGGGGAAGTCACATTAAAAGTCGGATTTCGAATATCCGATTCGGTTTTTCTTCCTCCCCATTTGTGTAATTGTCTTCGAGAGGAAGCGAAGGAAATTAAACACTTGTCTCACGATTGTTGGAATTCGAACCGTTCTAATTTGTTTTCATGCTTCGCGGTATTTGCTTGGAAACTGTATGAAAGTTTCTTGTAAAATATCGTTTATCCTCTTAATCGGATATTTAATTTGTGCTTCTTTTCTTGGGTTCGCAGCAAAGAAGCATTTGTTATATTTCCTCGCTTTCGCAGAATTAAATAATGTAGAAATATTAGCTGTTTTATCATGGTTTTGGGTTTGAGTGTCTCTCTCCGGTACTTAAAAAGAAAATTTAAATTAAATTTATAATGCATAAAAGTGCATAAATAAATATATAATGTATGTTTGGTTTTTTGATTATGGCAAAACACTAGCCATAATAAGCTGGGCTATCTGCTTAATGGACGGGATGGCTTCGTGGAGGATTTTCTAAGAGAAACTCCGTTAGACAAGAGGAAAATCACAAAAAATGCCCATGCAGCTCGCCCGTTCGCTGAATTCGAGCCTCGGGCCGAACTACCAGTGTTCAGCGGCTTTACCGCTCAGCCCTGGTGGATGCATAATTTTGGAAATAAAAATATGAAGGTTATATAAGTTCACACTAAATAAATATTTAACTTCGAAAATAAAGAACATCAAAGTTGATTAATATTCGAATAGCTTATTAGGATACAAAAATAGATAAAATCATATAAAAAACCTAACTTAAGAAATAGACGTGTTCGTAATTAAAAATATGATCAGGATGCCATATGACTTTCTTGTACAGCCTTCTGAATTATACATATATGTTGCTGCACTTCATTTAAACTTATTTCGTCGAATTATTGTAAATTAATTAACTAATCCCTCAAGAAAAGTTGAAAGTGGCATCAAAAACTGAAAATTTTGAAATCAAATATCCCAATTTTTTTTTTTTTTTTTTTCAAATTGAGCGTAAAACTTCTCCAAATATAAGCACTGGAACAGGGCGAGCGCATTAAAAGTTAAATTTTGCTATTTCAAAAACTACTTTTTTTTTTAATGGCATTACCAAAACATGAATATTTTCGTCGTTTAAAACACTTCCGTAATTGGGAGTATATGACTACGACCAACGATTGCGGAAATAAAGGACGGATAAAGACTTTTATACCGGGTAAGGGGTGGGTATATATATATATATATACGTTTGGTATTGCCGTTTGCAATAAAAAAGGGAGGTGCATAACTAGATGTTATAGCAATTCCATGTACAAAATATCAACGTTCTACGGTTAATTGCTTTCTAAGTTAGGTGAGAAATAGTCATACACGCGTACACTCGCAATTTTTTACAATGTTGCCTTTTATTCGTACAAAGAAGTAAAATAGAATATTAAAAATCAAAATACAAAATATTCTAATTTGATCTTTATATTCAAATTCCGTTTAACGACTACTATAGTTTTACGAACTTAGAAATTAATACTCAAACATAAAAGATATAGAACTTAAACTCATATTTTTAAGACGAAATGGTGAAAACAGCATTGCAATATTAAGATAGTTTCAAAAAATTGCTTTGTGTATTTTAATTATAATTATATGATATAGAAAAACCTTACTTATTGAAAGACGTATCTCTACAGCTTTTTCAGTGGATCTCTTAAACACCATGCTTGCAACCCATATTTCCAGCTAGTGAAAATAATATCTTTTTCGTCAGAACATGAAATTTGCATAAAGAAAACAATAAACTAATGGTAGCATTAAGTCTGAAGTGTAAATAAATTTTATTTTTTACTTTCAGGTTACGAGACGAAAGAGCGGATTTGGTTGACGCCAAAGAACGCTTGTACGGTTTTGATAGTCACCGCATGAAAGACCAGGCCTTTTTGAACGGTAAGTAAAGTCGGAATATTTAGCATCTTAGTTATATCAGAAGAAATTGTCGTTCATTTCTTCCGAAATCCTGAGAATGCTAGTATTTATAGACTTCTCTTCGCACATCTTCATATGTCTGTTTTTGAAACAATATCTGCATGCTTTCTGTTTATGTTATGGCTTTTAAAAGCCTTTTTAAATTGGTGAATGATTATAAAATTAAAAACATTAATGAAAATATAATAGAAATCGAAAGAAGGAAACATAACGTTGATTTTACTGGAAACAAAATATTGATGCATACGCATATGTTACTTGACAGAACGATGAAAATTGTAAAAATTCTATTTTTTCGCCATGAAAAAATAATACAAAATTACTATATATTCATGAATATCATAAAGTTTGCTCGCCCATTCAATCTCCAAAGTTTTTTTTAAATCTTAGTTATGACAGATTCTAATTGAAATCTTCGAAATGTTTTCTATAACTTTTCTCGATTCCCATCTTAAGTTGCGATATTGTTTTTTAAATTGTCTTTTAACCGAAGTTTATATGTAGATCAATTTTCAATAAAAGTGAGGCAACTAAATAAGAATCGCTGTCAGAATTATCATAGAATGTACTTTCAAAATAAAAATTATGTTTCATGATTGCTCAAGAGGGTTCGTACGCTGAAAGCCAAAATTCGTCAAAATTACTTGAAATTATTTTTAAATAGGTAAGTTTGTTTATCCTAAGCCAAAATTTATGGATACAAACCTTAAAAAAATTCAAATGGCACAAATAGCGGCATTTCAGATCCAATAGGGCCCACCAGCGGCCGACTGGTAAAGTCGCTGAACACTGGTAGTTCGGTCCGAGGTTTTGACGGGCTGGCTGCATGGGCGTTTTCGTAGTTTTCCCCACGTGTAACGTGTATACGAGCCAGTTTCCCTTAGAAAGTCATCTACGAAGGCATCCCTCCTCTTAGGAAGATAGCCCTAGTGTTCTTTGCCATAATTCAATAAACCAACCAACCAACGAATCAGATGCCAAAGCAAGGTCCTTGGCGTCATAATAATTACTACGAAGCTAGATTTTATAATTGAAAAGCTTGAAATGTGAATTTTGACACAGTTTGGAGACCTTAGAAAATACACTATAGTTCATAATCACCTCTTCGCTGTTTTCAAAAGTCACGAAAGAGCTTGGGAAATACTCTTTCTGGATAAAAGCCAAATTTTAGGTGTCTGGAAATGGAAGTTGGTCGATAAACGTAAATTTTGTCTGCCTGTCTATTCAAATACGCAGTTTTGGAAACTGAAGTTTGTGAAGCATACCTCTTTCTAGAGCTCATACAATTTAGATGAAGAAATTTAAAACGATATGTGTAGGATTTAAAAAAAAAAAAAAAAAAAAAAAAAAAAAAAAAATACATGATCGTCATTTCTTATAATTAGATGTTCCGGTTTACAGATAATTAGATGTTCCGGTTAACCGTAGAACGTTAATTATTTGAAATTTATACCTGAAAGAATAATTTCTAAATTTTAAATGCAGCAAAACACCGTTTGTCTATACTCTAGATATCAGAAACATCCATTACCAGGAATGCTTGCTTTATTTTCTGGGTCAAATGAGATTTAATTTATTTACATGTTTTTTTTATTTTTTCATGATTTATGTATGAAATATAGTATACATAGAAATATAGTACACTAAAATATTTTTTATAAAAACCTAATTAAGTTTAAATGTAATTTAAAAATTAATTTAATTTAAAATAATACTTTAATATAATAAAAAATTAATTGAAATGGAATTTTAATCTAGATTTACTTGCAGCATAGAGCAAATAAGTTAGCCGAAAACATTAATGTAAAAGCAGTTAAGTTTTATTAACTTCCACGATATAACGTTATCTTGGTTGAAATAGTAAACCGTGTAATATCGTTATTTTATTTTTAATTTATTTACGTCAACAAAAAATTCTAATATCTTACTCAAATAATTATTAAAATATAGAAAGACTGTAACAAAGTTTTTACTATTAAAAGTGTAAATAAAAGCAAGCTTTTTTTTAATGCAAGGCTTGTAACATAAATGAAAATTATTAACATTGTTTTATTTTGTTAGACGCAAAAATCCAATAAGTTTTATTTTAAAAAATGAAAAATAACTTTATAAGGTATTTTCTTCCTCCTTTCCATATGTCTTCGTCGTGTAACTGTAAGTACACTCGAAGTATATTCTGGAGGTCCGAAGTTCGAAACCCGGCGAGGGCCCTGCAAACTTTTCACGTCTCCTGCTTCAAAATAATAATAATAATAATTACTCTATAGTGACTCCCGAACTAAAAGATGGTAGACGATAATTCGTCATCCCCGGGATTTGGCGATTGGGTGTCCTCATCCCCAGTCGCCCTTTAAAAGAGGGAGTATATAAGGAATTTTCTCCTTCCTTTCCGCCTGCCTTTGTGGTGTAATTGGAAGTGTACCCGAGAGTTCCAGCGTTCGAGTCCCGGCGAAGACATTGCACATTTTACTCATCACCTGCTTCAAAATATTCTAACGACTCTACAGCATTTACATTAATATTATCGAAAAACTATTTTTTGTTGGATGAAATCCACTTGGATGTTTATTTGTATTAATTTTGAAACAGATTTTTATTGCAGTTCAGTTAGAATTTTAAAAGCAAATGTAATAAATTTGTAAAGAGTTTCAGCAAGACTTTTCTGTGTAACTTTTAATACTTCGCACTAAATCCTCACTTATATTTTCTCTTTAAAGCATTGTTCTCTTTATTTTGCTTCTCTATGCACCTCTTGACTGCTGAGCTTTTTCTGCCTTTTATTTTAACTCTCTGTAGGCTGTTTCTTTGACGTTACTTTTTCGTAATAAAGATAAAATTCTGCATTAAAACATTCTTTGCAAAATGTTTTGTGTGGAAACTCGAGAGGCTTAACAGATGGAAAATGCTAAGATTTTTTTTTAATGAAAACTATTCATCAGTGATTCGTTTTTAAATATGCCTTTTATATATTTTACCTTTCGCTTAATTTATGGGAAAACTGAGCCTATAAGTGCAGTTTTATTGTTCAGTTAAAAATAATCTTTCAAGTCTAGACAAAATTCTAAATATAAAAGAATAAATCCCTTGAGCTCCTTTGATATATATATTGCGCATGTAAGTTGTAGTTTCATTTTGTAAGTAAATATTAAGTCATAAATCGGCTACTTAAAAGAATTTATTCGAGAAAATTTCTCATACTGTAACTCAAATGTGTAAATCTCTTTTGACAATTAATCTTCCTATGATGGTAACAAGTAAATACTCGTATTCTTATAATACATCTGTTAGGGCATTAAGTATATATTTTATCGTAAGCTTCAATAATAAAATAACGAATTTTAAGTAAAATTTCGGAATTACTATTTAGTGTCATCAATTAAAATAAACAAAATCTCAAAGCATTTATCATTTACATTATTCCGTATAAAAGCTATTACTAACTCATAATTTTAAATTTTTTTTAATTCATTAAATTGACTGTAGTTTTTTACTTTGGGATTTAACTGAATAATTCATGAAGAATCAAATTTGCTATGAAACATGGACCATATCCATTGCTAATGATCGGCAATATTCGAATGCAGAAAACATTCGAGAAGATTCGAATATTTTATTCGAATGCAGAAAACTGTGTATAAGAAAATAGTATTTTTTCCCATCGTCATTCCACGCCTGCAAATACGTATTTGCATTGAATTTTCGATTATTTTTAATGCTCAAATATGTAACGAAATGCAAAATATATGTTAGTAAGTAGTAACTGAAACTGCGCAGTAGTGTTGAATACAAACCTACTTAAGAACGCTTAAAAATTGTTTTTATGCATCAGAAGTAATTCTCCAGTTCGTTTATTATTGAAACTGAAACGAATCGCTTAAAATACATTTACCTAGCTGAAATAAAAACCACAGTCTGTTAGTTAGTGGATCCGAATCTGATAAAATCTGTATTTATCTCTGACCCTAACCAAAGCAGCGAATATTTCGCAGGCTCTTTAAACTTCTTTGATAAATTAGCAGTTTCCCTTCTTCTGTGAAGCCTCTCACGATATCCAGCAGTCTTCAGGCGATCAGAGAAGCAATCTAATATTTTGGTTTTATTCTTTTTTCCTCTTTTCGTGGATTTAGGCTACTTCTGGCTTCTTGCAGGGGCATCAGCTAACGGCCACAGTCCCGTCCTCAACCTCAGCCAGCATTCAAGCCGGCCATCCAACAGCAGTAGTAACAACAACAATCCCACTACGAACGGCCCTGGTGGCGGTGGTGGTGGCGGAGCTGGTGGCGAACACAGTGGTAGTGAAAACGCATACAACGACGGTGCTGATGACGATGACAACGACAGTGAGGATGATGATGATGACGACAGAGAACAAGGTAAATACTTATGGACAAAATAGGCAATTATTTCAAAATCAATACTTAAAATATGTAAAATTCTGCAGACATCTCTAATTTTTTGTATGCATTAAACTAGTAATTGCTTTAACAAAACGTAACGATTTCTCTCAATAATATATTAGAATTTAGAGACAAATTTTCCATTTCATTCGCAACAGTAAAATTAGGTACAAACAAAAAATTTTAAAATTTATACATACAACAGCAAAGAATACAGGAATTAACAGGTATGTTTACTTTTATTTCTTTGTTACCATAAAGTTGTGCTTCTTAAAAATTTTTTGACGGGAGCTGTATAGTAAAACAAAGTATAGCAGCAAACTATTTTTAAGCGTAAAATCAATGGTTATTGTAAAATCAGAACACAAAATCCTCCGATATGGCAGTATTCATAAATAAAATTGAGTTACTGACTAATAAGTAATTACTTTTTATTCAAAAAATAAAAATTGCGAATTACCTTAAGATTATCATAAATTATCTTAGAGAAAGATGAATTAGAAATGACCTTGAAAGAATCATCCGTTGAAAAATAAGCCTCTTGTAATATTTGGAAAATCATTCGATTTTTACTTTTCTGTAGCATAAGTAACAAAATACTGTAGGCGTCTGTTAAGTTATACTGTTAACACGCTTTTTGTTCTAACATACGTATTCTGTAAGTTTTTTAAAAAAGAGACTGGAAATAATAATGTGATGTTGCTCTAAAAAAATTTTTAAAGCACTTCTTTCACTAAACTTTGGAAATTTGCGAACTTTAATTGATGCTTCCAGTTTGTTCAATACATTTTCAATTATATTAAAATTAGTCACTACAGGCCATACAAATAATCTAGTTTTTTTTTTTTCTGTGATTCTGTAATCAACTGGAAATAATGCGATATGGCTTTTCTTGTTGAAAGTTCACCTATTCATGCTGGCATATGCCATTTTTTGAACTGTTTCGATCGAAGAATGCTTGAGATCCGTTGTAGGTGATGAAACATTTCTTTGGCATCTGAGATCCAAAAGCCAAGAAACAACTACTTCATCTCCAATGCCAAGGAATCAATCGGCGATTCTAATGCTAATTAACGATTATTATTTTCAGGAACTGATACTAGAAAAGTAACATTTTGCTACTTAATGGGATAGTTAATGCGGATTATTATGCTCTGTGTTGTCAATGCTGAGAAAAGTTATCTGAAAGAAAAATTCACATTTCCAAAAACGCTTATGTGTCACTTGAGAAGAAAATTCAACATAACACTCAGCCTCATGTAGCACATAAGTTTAGTAATTTACTTAAAAAGAAAGAAACTGAAATTTCATTTCCTCCGCAATCGAAAATTTATTTGGGCTTATTCATAAAATTCTTTCCACCTCTAGAAAAATTTACAAAAACATAAATTACCATACACATAAACTAAAAACCATTGAAAACTTCTCTAGGACACAAAAATAGCTTCCAAAGTGTCTTTGAAAAGTGGCAATCTCATTCTGATAGAGTTATTTTCTGGTAATGAGATATTTTCAAAACAACCACAGCATTAAAAAAAAAAAAGAAAAGAGAAATCCTGATTTTTCTGAAATAATAAAATTTTACATATCTGGAACGACAGAGAATATATTTAATAAAAGTATCTATAAAATTTATACTATTTTAAATAGTATAAATTTTATAGATACTTTAGTATTTTATAGATACTTTTTTTAGATTTAATTATACTATATAATTTTCTAAGACTTGATAACAAAATACAATATTTAAATTACTAAATTATGAAATAATATCCTTTGTTACTTAGTATGAGTTCTTTATCTTCACTCACAAATTTTAAATTAAAATTGAAAAAAATTGCACTCTCTAAGTAGTAATTTTTTCTTCTTCTTTTTTTAAAATAAAATGTTCTTAGTTTAAGTTAATTTTTCGATAAAGTTGCATGAGAAATTTTCTATAATCAGAATTTATGTATTTATTTATTTATTCAAAAAAAAAAAAAAAAAAAAAAAAAAAAAAAACATAGTGTACTTTATTTATCCATTACACAACTTTTATATTACCATTTATATTAAATACGAAGTACATGCGTCTTTCTATTCGTTACTTAATATAACGTCGTGTTTAGTCATTCAATCTAAACATATTTTAGTTTCTTGCTTTTCAGATCTTAGTGACAATCCTGACGTCAGCAGTACAGCAAACACAGACAGGTTAACGTCAAGTCAACAGCAACTGGCGTACCCTAACATGGGAGGCGAAGTTGGACCTTTGCAGGGTCAAGCTGCTTCCTCCATGGAAACTCTCCTCAGGAATATAGAGGGCCTTCTCAAAGTCGCCGCTGATAATGCAAGGCAGCAAGAGCGGCAAATAAATCTAGAAAAAGGTAATCCCTTGAATTTCTCTTTGTGTTTGCATAGCACTATCGTGTCAATTCACAATGTTTGAGGACGTTGAAACTATTTAATGCTTGAATATTGGATGCTTATTTCCAAAGAAATTGAAATCTTCCAACAAAGACCGGTTAGTGAGTTATAGAATCTGCTTGAAGTTTCGTGAACTAGGGAGGAATTACCGAATCAACAAAACTTCAGGAATATGTTAGGTGAAAGCAACGGCTTTACCAATAATAATTCAGAAAGCTTGTTCTGTGGCGTTGTGAAGATTCTGTGCTGAAATATATGTTGACATTGGCGCAAGATTGCTCAAGAGTTGCAGGCGGGATGCTGTCATGAACTGCACATGGCCCGGAAACATCCAACCCAAAACAAAGTCGTTGAGTCTAATCTGCGCATTTGACGAAATTGTGAGATATTAGGAAAGTTCAATCAACGGCTCTGCTGAAATATTTCTCTGCAATGGGGAAGTTTGATTTGTAGCCAATACAAAACTTTAAATTTGCACTAAATAAATGCTTCAGGAGTTAGAAATAATAAATGACTTACCTTTTGTTGCTTAAATGGCAACATTATTTGATAAAATGTATTTTAAATTACTCCTAATTTGTAGTAAGTAACTGAACGTGGTTTGCTGACAATGACTACGATACGAATCTTGTTAAATACCAGCTAAAGAAAGAGAGAGAAAGATGTTAGCACTTTCGATATACTAGTAAATTACTCTTTCTATTAGTACTCTCTATTTTTATATAAAGTATTTAATACAGTCAAATAGTAATTTACAGGTGAAAGGAAATACTCAGACGTCAAATCACAATAGAATCCCATATTAAAAACACTCCCTAATGCATGGTGCTGCGATAAAATTTATAATGATGACCGCGCTTTCACAATTAAGGTTGAAAAAAAAAACGAACCGAAAGAAAAAAAAATAATGCAATGGTTTCAAGTAATAATTTCGTCTTCTTGTCGATGTCTGTTAAACGGTCTTTCACTCCATATAAACACTCCAAATATTTCACATCTTCTCCAAAAACCAAATCACAAAAAAATTACGTTTTCGCAAAGCAATGCCCGTGAACAGTAATGAACTATTCCATAAATATCATCCCTTGAAAGATAAATGAAGAGCTCGCTTATATTGCTTCAGGCCTAAAGGTACTTAGAACCTCCATCCCAATACAAGCAAGTCTTCCACGCCTTAAGAGCTACATATAAAATGGCCCTGAAATCGAAGATGGAGATTGGGGAGGGGTAAAGGGAAATTAGCAGAAAGACACTTCTCATCCCCCCTCGTTCTTCGAGCAAGGAAATATGACAACCAGGTGCCAGTTACGACTGGGCTTCAGATAGAGGTTTACAAAAGACACGGCCTCCAGAACTGTGTTCCTTCATTTCACGCAGCGCCGCATCCCGGTATAGGGCTTTTCGGTGGCGAAATCTAATAAAAACGTCAGTGCTGAAATATGCCTCCCACCATATAGATAAAGTAGAGGGTACAATGCGCGAACTGCTTAATTAAGAATGGACGTTTTGTACTGCGCGCATAGAGAATGCTTAGAGCAATAGTGATCTGAGTCTGAATATTTTATACTATATGGTTTTAGATGGCAACTCACTTAAAATGCATATTTCTTTTCTTTCTGAGAAAGACATATGTTACAAAAGTTACTAAAATTTTAAAAGAAAGTAAAAATTATTATTAAACTGTTAGGAGCTACGAAATTTTAAAGGTGTGAGCTAAAGTTCAGCTTTTAAGAAAGCAGTCTGACCGCAGTATTATAGCGTTAATATGATTTTAGTTTTAATATATTACTTTATTAACATCTATAAAACATTGATCTCAGAACGACACAGATTTTAACGTGAGCAGGTTCTTAAAGTAGTAGAAACAGAGTTAGCGGTAGATAATTAATTCAATTTGTAAAACTCCACATACTTAAATAATTTTGCAGGAAATGCGCTTATTTACTAATTGTCTAACAGTTAAACTGAAGCACTGCTTCAAACTTTCTTGTTACGAACTTAACAAACCTTATTAACCAATAAAATATAATAAAATGAATTACAGTGTTAGCAACAGCTCATATTGCCCTGAAAATTAATATACATCCTCAAATACAGACTTTACCCACGTTCATTGATTTCAGTAGCATGTGAAATTATTCTGTTAGCTTCAGTATACAACCGTTTTGCATATAAGACAATTTTGAATTTTTAATTAGTTTTACAGGGAAGAAACACTAGTATTGCATAAATGACAACTTTATGTGTATGAATTTGATATTCTGAAAAAAAAAAGAGAAATTAATCAGTCTAAATAGCCTACTTTGAGGTAAAACTATGCAAATAACTTTTCTTTCATCGTAAATCTTTATAGGTTTCTATGTTAATATAATAATTTAAACATTAGACCTTACACATAATATGAATGTGGCTTTCAGAAGTACATTAAAAAATATCGTCTTACTTTCGGGCCATTAAAGTAAAAAAAATTTAATGAAATTTCTAGAAAAAGGTGTATGTAGTAACAAAACTTTGTATTATGTGACTCAATGCTTAAGTGAATTATTTCTTAAGAATAAAATAACTCAGATCCCATGTTAAATAAAATGAAATATACGGCTTAATAATTAGAAGACAATATATTAATGCAGCAATTCGTATTCATGTTTTAATGCTAATGTTTACTGAGCTGTTTTCCTTAAAATGGAAAGAATTTGTTAAAATAATTTTTTAGAATAGGGATAATACTTTTACGTGAGCTAGAGGGACAGTAGTGGAACAAGAAATCGTTCCAAAGCTTTTATTTCAGAATATAAAATTTTTCTGGAAATCCTTTAAGATAGAAACTGTAATAATTTATTTCAGTAATAGCAGCGTCAAAAAGTATTGTTTATTTCAAACAAGTATGATGAAGTAGGTGACAGAAATGGATAAATTTTTAAGTTTGTTTAAACATTAATTTATTACCTTTAACAATTGTCATCTAAGCTTGATGAGACTAATAGTAAAAATTTAACAGATCTTCAAATACAAAAAGTACAAATTTCCTTATGCATGGAACGATGATATAGAGTACAAACTTTGTTAGATATGAAAATAAATTGATGCGGACAAGTAGAAAAAGCTATGTAAGGAATCTTTTTCCTTTGGTAAATTACATTTGATCACAAATAACTAATATATGATTAACATGAACTAAGTTTTATTTTAAGTAATTAACATGTATTTTTATTTTAAGTAATCAACATGAACTAAGTTTTTTATTTCTAGTATTTTAAGTAATTAACATCAATTAATTTTTATTTTAAGTATTTTATTTTACGTTATTAACATGAACTAAGTTTATTTAAGTATCAATAAAAAATTTATAATAAATACTGGTAAGAATTTATTAGTAACTTAAGTATAATAAAAATAAAACTTAGGCTATGTAATGAAATGTTTCTTAATGAGATGTTTTGTTTAGTATTTCATATTTTGTGTTCGATCAGCCAACACTTTTATTATCTGCAGGCATTAAAGTCATTTTATTCTCTGTAGATACATGATTTGTTCTTTATTCTGTATTTGCCTTTGAGTGAATTCCCTGTAGAAAACATTTAACAGCTAATATTTTAAAATTTAATATTTCGCCTTTACACAAAACTGATATTTTTACTAACACTTTCATGCAGAAAGGAAAGGAAATAAAATGTTCCGTTACAAAAGAAGAAGATCGGTTTTTATGAAAACTTAGTAACGCGAATTTAGTTGGGTTTTTAACTGATTTCCTGATAACTTATGTCACTGCTTAGCTTAAAAAATGTTGAAAAACCTTTAAAATTGTACGTTTACTGAGTTTATACATTTACAAAAACTTGAGCATACTGTTAAATCAAATTAATTTTCATAAAAGTAGCTCCTAAATGTCTTTTCTAGAGTCTTAATAAACTGAAAAAATTTGATGTGTACACCCCATGACTTCCTAGCACGGAATATTAAATTATACGTATTTTTTCTTGCATTTCATTTAAACTTATTGGATTGAATTAAATCTACTTCGTCGATAGCGCATAAACCAGAATAGAATAAATGCACTCTTTAAAATTGACTATATTTGTTTACGACAGCCACACTCTGGCGCTAACTTCACTTAATAGCGTTACATTTCGTTCATATTATAAACCAGAATGCATATAAATTTATATCATTTGAAGAATTATCTAATCGTTGCCACATGTTCTATTCAAATACTATAATAAATCTAGAACGATGTATAAAGGAAATTAAGCAAACAAAACAAAAAAGAAACAGTTTCTTACAAACGATTCAGCATTTCTCATTCAATTAATTCAGTTCTCACTTCTCGGCAAGGCAAAAATACATAAAAACTCAAAATATCTATATTAAAAATTACGAAGTAAATCTTAAACACTTATTTCCTCGAATAAATTCCAGAATGGATTAAACACGATTTAATTCGCAATAATAAAAGAAGGCGTTATCTTTGTTGTTACGAAGCTTAGTTTCTCTAGACTGGCAACAAATCCGCTATTTTGCCAAGTTTGAAATGTAAGCAAACATGTCCGCCATCACAAAATTCATTAAAACTAAAGGCATAAAAACTTTAACCAGAAGATATGAACAACATAATTCAATCATTTTTAAAGCAAAAATTCACAACTTAGAAACACATAAGAGTAAAGAAACTGAGATCACTGAGCCGGTTAACAGAATTGTTATATGTATACATATATTTACAGACGTTTGGTGAGGTCGATTGCAACCAAAATGCGATGTGCACATCTACATGTTATAGCAGTCCTATATAAAAAATTTCAACGTTCCGAGGCTACTCGTTTTTGAGTTATGCGAGATACATACGTACAGACGCCACGAAAGATTCTCTTCAGAATTAATTTTAAATGTGTTTCATAATTTTTTTGAGGAAAAAGAGTCTTTTATTCTGTCCTAACGTACAGATGTCACGCAAAAACATCGT